TAAAGAAGATTTACAAAGAAACATAACAACGACATACTTGGGTGTCCAAGCAGAAACTTTATAATCAATTGATGTGCATATATTTAGCTTCAATAACAACTCTATTATTACCTTACGTTCTTGTTCCCGGTCAACACTCTTGCCATCATGCGAGGAAGTACTCTTCGTAAAAAAAATCATAATCTCTTGTGCTATTATCAGCTAGCAACTGAGCTAATCTCTATTACGACAGAATTGAGTAAATTCGAAAAAACAAATTAACTACTTGTTTGAAGAAAGAAAAGGGGGGAGCAGCTTAAATAGATAAAACCATTTGAATGCAAGAGTTTTGTACTCTTAGGATTTGAAATCGGTTTCGTCTCTGTTCAACAGCCTCAAAGACATGCATATTGCCCTTCTAATATTTTTACTCAATATACCACAATATTAACCATAAAATGTAGTTAATTTTTATTTTTTCTCAAATGACTAAAGAGCTATATTTTCAATTTCCTTTATAATTCAAACTAAGAAACAGTAGAGACATACACATATTCATATCAAAACTTCAAAAGTTCCTCTCCAATCAAAATATCCAACATGCGTGGGAGAAAAAAAAATACTAAAATCTAAGTAGAAAAAATCCCCAGAACTGCTCTGCAAATTTCAATCCGAAAATTAAAAAAGAAATCTTTTAGTGCTGATAGAAGGGGGAAAATGGCTGAAATATGATTTTAAGAAAACGAAAAAAAACAGAGAAATTTTAGCCAACCTCGGTCGATCGAAGTCCGAAATATGGAACGAAGCCTAGCTCACTTAATTAGAACCCCCCCCATGCCTATATTTTTGTCGGAAACAACAAACTCGGAAAATCAAAAAAAATTATTCCCTAATTTTTGAAAGAGATATGAGGCACAAAACCTGTCGATTTCTGAGTATTTAAATCTTGATATTGGCGGAGGAGGAAATAAAGTAGGTAGACGCCGCCGGAACCTGCGCCACTATGCGTTTGGTTGGAAGGGGCAGCTCCGGCAAGCCTAGAAAAGCCGCCGGCGGCGGCGGCGGCGGAAGGGAACAGTTGTAGGCCGGATGTGGGACTGGTAATTAACAGAAAATCGGAAGACAGAGAACGGTGCAAAGAATTGTATGCGAAGAGAAGAAGTATGTGGTGGATGTAGGTAGAAGGAGGCGCAATTAAGAATTGTGGGCAGCGGAAGGTGGACGAAGAAGCAGAAGAAGAAAAGGAAAATTGAGAGTAAAAGAAAAGTGAAAATAAATCAATGAAGCACCTCTCGGAAGAAAGCGACGCCGTTCCGTCAATAAGATTGGAGGAGATGGTCAGAAACTGTAGGCGCCGACGAGAAATAAAAGAAAAGAAAAAAAGAGAAGCAGAGAGGTCGATCGTGCATTTTGCGAAAGAAAAGGAAAAAGAAAAGAAAGAAGGGCTGTGGTTGGTGGATTAATACCAAACGGCGTCGTTTTAGATTAAAACTGGCCAAAAATAAAGCGTGAAAAATAGGGGGGCGGGATTTGGGGGCCATGAAGATATATATATACTTAATATATATATATATACTATTTAATTTTTTAGTCAATTCAATTATATTATGGGTAAATTACAAACACCCCCCTGAGGTATGGTTAAATTACAAAAACACCCCTCTTGTTTGGATAATTACAACCAACCCCTCAACTCCTCAAATTTAGTGGAATCTTCGAGATTATATGGAATATTATCACTTTTGTACTCGTTTTATCCCATTCGAACTCTACATTTTGAACCAAGATGATCATAATATGTGATTTTTAGCTTGTATATATCAGTTTGTGGTGTATCGGAAACTGTATTTTTACACAAAACGAGTACAAACTAGAGCACATTTTACGGAACCTAGATGATTATGTTGAATTTGGCACCATAAGGGTGGAGGTGTAAGAAAAAATCATAGTTGAGGGGGTAGATGTAATTATCCAAACAAGAAGGGGATTTTTGTAATGTGACCATACCTCAGGGGGGTGTTTGTAATTTACCCTTATATTATTTAAGCCCACTTATTTTTAGTCCACTTATTCAAAGCCCCCCATGTATATTCTATTTATTTTTTTAGTCTATTTAATTAATCCTATATATATATCCTATTTTTCTTTTAGTCTGTTCAATTATATTTTATATATATATATACATATATATTCTATTTAATTTTTAGTCTATTTAATTATATTATTTAAGCCCACTTATTTTTAGACCACTTACTCAAAACCCTCCATCACCTCATGTATGACTTGCTCTCATCTTCTATTTCTCAAGTTCATTACGTTTCTTGAAAAAAAAAAAACTTTGTTCTCTCTCACAGTCACACTAATAGCGGTTAAATTGCCATCCACCGACGATCATTTTAGCATTTGACAACTTCTCTGTGTCAATTTGATAATCGACTTGATATTCATGTTTCTTAAATTTTCATAGCAATTTAGCTTTCGCGGTTTTGGTATTATCTTTTGAAAGTGAAGGAAAAAAAATTCATATCGAATTTTCATCTCAAATTTCTTTCGTAGCAAATTTTTTTTCGGGGGGCTGCCCCCGAACCCCCGTGTGTTTAAGCCCCCCCTCACCAAACTTTCTGGCCTCGCCACTGTATACATATATATTAATTCTTGTTCATTTGCAATATGATCATATATATATATATATATAATTGAGTTCACTGTATTTAATTGCTAAGTAGGGGTGTGCGCGGGCCATAAACCCGCGGGTTCTATCAAAACCCGCCCTCGTCCCGTCAAACAACGGTTCTTGATTTTGAAGAACCAAACTTATGGGTTTTTAACGGGTTTACGATAGGCGGGTCCATGGCGGGTTTGTAGTAGGACCCAACCTTTACGGGTCGAAACCCGTTATCGTCTAAACTATTTTTTTTATATATATAATTTATAAGTTTTACGGGAGAGTAATTAGAAACTAAAATGAATAACCTAAAATTTTAAATTGAAATCAAACATAAATAATGTAAGTGTCAAGAGTAAATAAAAATTAATATAAAACTAAAAATAACTAATTCATAACTTATTAGACAAAACTTAAATAAAATAAATATAGCCTTTTCAAACATAACCAACGTTATTCAACTCCATTCAACACCATTTTCTTCCTTTTTTTTTACTGCCGTGTGTTGACCGTTGTATATATATGCTTTTTTTTCCCTACATTTTCTTAGAAATTTTCATAATCTTTATAGCTATTACTTCCACAATTATAGTTTAGTTGATTTATGTATTTGATACGCTAGAGATACTTTATTTATTCATTAATATTATTAATTTATTATACTATATAATGTAAACAAAACGAACGTCGTTTTGTATGGCGGGGCGGGACGGGTTTCACGGGTATTAAAAAAAATTGAACCAAACCCACGGTTCTTCACCATTTTAGGACCCAATCCTATGGATGGATCTATCCGTCCGGTTCCAACGGGGCGGTTTTTCACGGGTTTGACGGGTGTAGCGGGTTGATGGGTCCGACTTGCTCACCCCTATTGCTAAGTAAACTCCATGCATTTTTTTTGCACATAAACATAACCCTTAAACAACGAGTTTTTAAAGGGCATTTTTTCTAAAAAAAAAATATGAATCGTAGGGGTTTTTTGCATCAAAATAATATGAGAACTTTTTCAGCAATTAGAGAATATACAGAGATGTTGAATGTAATAAATGATCTTTGGGGGGCATGACCCCCAACCGTTCCCCAAATAAAAAAAACATATTATTGTATGTTATCTAGTATTGTCACTAAAAATTTTGTGTATAATTGGCTTTCGTCGAAATTGTGTATGTACAGATTCTTTATCGACGGAATTCCGATAAGAGTGTTCAAGAACAACACTGCACAAGGAGTGGCGTATCTGTCGAAGGCAATGCACATTGAAGCAAGTATATAGAATGCAGATTGGGCCAGGCCAGTTGATTGGGCTCAAGCCCCATTTGTGGCCCACTATCGAGATTTCGATTTCTATGCTTGCCCTACTCAAAACGACGACGTTTCTATTTGTGGGAATGGGCACTATTTTTGGAATAGGCATCGATACTTGGAGCTAAACGACGAGCAAAAGCAACAAATGAAGAGTTACAGAAGCGCGTACATGACTTATGACTATTGTTCTAGTCCTTTTACTAGCAAACAAGAATGTTCACTCAATTGATCTTTGATATGTGTGATAAACTATCTATATATATATATTCGGCTAAATTTGTAATTTGTCGAATTATTTTGGAAAAATTATAAACATGAGGGAATTGAATTTCACTTTTTGACTTTTGTTAATTTGTTTTGATGTTATTCCTTTTCATGAATCTCCTTTAAAATTAATTATATATGCATCAAATAAATGAAGAAACATCAATTAACAATTAACTGTCATCGAATACGTGGAAGCCCAATCAATTTACAGTTTGTAGTCTTGAGTTCGAATACAAAATAAATTTTGAAAGTCAACTGTCATCGAAATTCCTTTTAAGACCCTCCCTATGCTTGTACATACGTCGATTTGAACATGATCCGACGGTTCAAAATCTCAGCAATGTGGCTCATCCAAAAAGATATATATAATATAAAAAGATGATCTGTAGCCTCAATGAATGACATGTCAGGATTTCAGTATGTCATGTTTCAGTGATCTGACGTCGTTTCGTCACTTAAAAATAAAATATAATACCAATGTCTAATTATATTAAAGTGGCTTAAAGTGTCAAAGGCCCCAACAGCTTAATTACTTCTATCTAATTGAATGGATGTTTCAATTTCCATACAGTTGACCCATTTTGTTTATGCTTACTTATTTTAATTACCTCAACTCCTCCATCTTACGCTTATATCGGATCTTCCAATATCTTATGTATTATATTTTAATATATCATCAACTTGGAAAATGCAAGCTGACTTCTCTATTCATACTAGAGCTTGTGTTCTTGGACTAAACGCTTATCCTGTAATAATCAAGAGAGAGAGAGACCAATCAAGAGAGAGAGAGAGAATGGCTCATGCTGCAGTATATTCGGTTAAGTCGGCAATGATGGAGCTTGAGAGCAATTCAGCATTCAAAAAACATTCTTCTGAAAGCATCTCTTTAGATGACTTTAACTCATTTCTCGAGGCAATCGAGCTCCTTCCTAGCCACAACTTAGTTGATGCGGCCGCTTCCGAAAGACGAGTCAAAGATGCAGCCCAACAACTCATAGATCTGATCGACTCCCATGTATCGGATCTCTTACTACTTTCCGATCATCAATCTGAAAGCATCTCTTCAGATGATTATATCGGTTTCACTTTCTCCTTCTCCCAACAACTATCAGAACTCAAACAAGAACTCAGTTCGTTTCTCACAGCTTTGAAGATCACTGAACAACAACAACAACAACAACAACAACAACAACAACAACAACGAAAGAAGTCTTCTTCTGATTATAACAGCAATGGGAAACAACAAGATCTGGTGGGACTGTATGGCGAAATAAAAGTACTAAAAGAATGGATTCAGCATCCCTATTCCAGTCTCTTGGTTACAACAATTGCGGGCATGACCGGGATCGGTAAGACTACTCTCGTTAAACATGTTTATAGCGATCCATGTGTTGTAGATGGGTTCGAAACTCGTGTATTCGTGCACATCGGCCCACGCTATAGTCAACTGGAAGAAATTATGCTGCTTGTTCTCAATCAACTCGGCGTCGTCTTTCCCACCTCTGATGAACTACTTCACGAAAACGTAGACTATCTGAGAAATCAATTGTCGGAGGCTTTATCTGGTCAAAAGTATCTAATTGTGTTAGACGACGTGTGGACTGATACTGATGTCTGGAATCGTATGCGGTTTAATAGTTTCCCAGAGTACGAAAAAGGAAGCCGCATCATCATCATATCTCAGATCCAAAGCTTAGATTACTCCATGCTTGAAAACCAATGGATTATCCCATTACCATTGTTGAACGACGACGATAGTTGGAAGCTACTTCACCAGACGGCATTTTCTAGTGGATACCAATGTAGCTCAGAACTTGAGAAAATCGGAAAGAAGATCGCCAGAAACTGCCAAGGACTCCCTGCGGCAATTATACAGGTTGGAGAGACAATCTATCCTTCTAACACTATATTTAAGAATGCCATCTTTTAGGATCAAAATTGATATTGAAATTGTACATGGATAAAAATTGTTTTATAAAACTATAGTATAGGCATGAAAACTGTAAACATCTCTTTATTTGTGTATCATTCTTTTTCTTTTTCTTTTTTTTTTTCTCTTTTTTTGATATTATTTCAAGAGTTTCTTTTAACCTAGTAGAGTTACTCGCTTTTTTTTTACATTGATGGAATTTGGCAATTATTCAGGTTGGAGAGAACCTACGTGGAAAATTGGTCCAAGAATGGAAGACATTATCAGAAAATGAAGATCCACTCGTCATCACAAGAAATGACGATACACCCCTCTCAAAGGCACTATATTTTAGTTACATGATGTTGCCTCAATATCTAAAGGTATTCTTTCTGTATATGGGTGTGTTCCCAAAAAAATATCTGATTTCTCGAACCATGCTCATCAAATTATGGGTTTCTGAGGGTTTTCTTAGTTTAAATCCATCTTCTGAAGAATTTGTCGGGATTTACTTAGATCTACTTATTTGCCGAAATGTTGTTTTGATAGAAAAGAAGGCATCTGTAAATATGAATACAACTAAGAACTGTAGTATGCATTTCACCTTTCGGAGTCTATGTGTTAATGAAGCTAAGAGTGAAAAGTTTTTCCATGTCCTTAGAAAATACACTGATTGTAAGCCAGAGAACATCAAAAGCCATCAGCGTTTGTGTGTCCACAATAACGTTGTCCTTGCTTTCAAAGAAGTTCATGAGTGGATGGAGTTTGTTCCAAATACACGATCTCTTCTTTGTTTCGGTCCAAAACAACAATATCCAATAGGGTTGCCCTTGTGTTTTAGATTGCTCAGGATACTAGATGCACTTGCAGTCCGCTTCTACGAGTTCCCACATCAAGTGTTTCCATTAGTTCAGTTAAGGTACCTTGCCATCACGTGTGACGGAGAGCTCCCCAACTCCATATCGAAACTTTTGAACCTCGAAGTCTTGATTTTCGGTCGGCATCTGAACATCAAATTGTCGAAAAATGGTCCGGCTTATCTACCTATAGAGATATGGAAACTGTTTAAACTGAGGCAACTTTATTGCATGGGCTTTGATCTGCCAACTCCTCCACCTTCGGATGGTTCTCATCCGGTTCTTGAAAATCTTGTTACACTTTCAGGTGTGAGTGTTCACAGTTGTACCAAGGAAGTTCTTTCAAGGATTCCCAATCTAAAGAGAGTAGCCGTTCAGATTGAGTCGGCACACGATTCAGTCGAAACCTTCAGTTTTTTCAGTCAATTTACGTCGCTCTATCAAGAATTTGAGTCATTCAAATGCGTTGTTGTAAATCCTAATCTCAGTTCCCAGATTGTTCATTGTGTTCCGAATTTTCCTGTGAACATTAAGAAGATAAGTCTGAGTGGATGTGGATTTCCGTGGAAGAAAATTGAAGTGCTTTCGGCATTGCCGAATCTTAAAGTGCTCAAACTGCGATGGTATGCCTTTTGCGGGCCCGTTTGGAAAATCAGTGGCGCAGAATTCCCCGCACTTGAGTTTTTGCTGCTGGAAGACTTGGATATAGAACAATGGGAATTCGAGGGTGGAGACATGCGTTATATGCATAGGGTTATCGTTAGGCATTGCTACAAACTAAAAAGTTTTCCGGATAACTTGATATTTACCGATCTAGTAGAGGTGGATGATTGCAACTTATCTTTTATGAAGAAAATCCGCCGGACGATGTTCGTGTCTGGTGAACCTAAAATCAGTTCGTCAATTACACCTCAGTTGAATTGATGTGTGATTAACCTCAATGTAGCTTGTTCTTTATTTCCTTTCGTTTGTGGTTCTTTTTTGTTTTGCTTTTTTGTTTTTGTTTTTTTTTTTTTTTTTTTTTTTTTTGTGAAACTGGTTTAACTATAGAGGTGGTATTGATTTTCAAGTTTTAATAGGAATATGAATTATCTTTTCCGTGATTTTTATTTCTCTTCGTGTAATCTTGGTACTCCCCCCACATGTATCCTTTGTTTATGAAATAAAAATCATTTTTTTTGGCCAACAAACAAGAAAAAGAAAATGGAAAAAATATCAACAGAGTATATATTTGTGAAAATCAAAATAATTATCAATTGAATTGCATTATCGTCAATTCTAGACACAAAACAGGAAGCCATGTTAGCGCAATCAAAGACAATTCACATGAAAATGTGCAACAAAGCCATTTCGATTTCAGTTAAAATAGCTGAAAGAAAGAGATACAAGAGTAGTATCCAAGATTTCTGTAAATATCGAAACCCCGGATCAAATTCCCAGCTCATCCAGCTGTGGGGATTGGATCATTGAATGATATTAAATAAAAATAAATATAAAAATATAAATGTTTCTTAGAAATAAATATGAATGGTCATTCAATTTTTATTCCCAAGACTTCCTTAGGTTGAATCTCCATCTGGACACATTCGAATGCTTATCGGATTCAGCCCTACAATTTGATAGAATTCAAATCATTTTTCTGAGCCTGTAACCAACTGATCAAACACAGTCTCCAACTTCCATCGAAATTGTCGTACAAGATTTGCAGCTAACCGGCCGGGCCCACACAAAGATTCCCGAATTTCTAATCCAACAAAGTTAGAAGGTGATTTGCTCTTCTTAACTAGAGCCTCTCACTGCATTTTGCTCAATGTAGTTTCCATTTGCATAGCCATTACAAATATCCGAATCTATAGATGCCTTTCCATTCCCATGCACAGTTTGAGGCTTCTCCTTCTTCATCAGTCCACCATTTTCACACGACGAACGATTCTTCGGGTCAATGCTTTCTGTGGCTACTTTACTGTCCACCTTATTACTACATTTCTTTCATGGCTGTTTTTCGAGAAAACCATGCGTAAAAAGTGGCTTAAACTTTGCATTTGATTTCTTAGCAGGGTTTTTAACATCAACAGAGGACGGTACAGATTCTCCATGCCCAACATTTTCAAGGATGGGTGTAGAATTAACAGAGTTAGCTTCAATATGTATCAATGTTAGTATCAGTATCAGTATCAGTATCAATATTAGTATCAGTATTTTTATTACTATTATTATTAGTATCAGTATCAATATTAATATCAGTATCATTATAAGTATTTGTATTAATATTAGTATTAGTATTAGTATTAGTATTAAATCCACTATGTTGTTACTTCCGGTGGAATCTTTTTGATTCCATAAATTATCCTTCTGAAAATGTCATTCTTGCCGCTTTAGAGGTAATTGTAAGCATAATAATTACTTAGTGGGTAAATTGTAATATACTTAAAAATGTAGTTATTTTAATTTTAAAACTATTATGTATTTCTTCATTTTATAACTCAGTAATATGCAAAAGAAAACTGTGTAATATCAGTAAGGTAAAGAAAACCCTCGGAAACATTAAGTGTCGAAAACCCTCCTTTTAATCGGTTCAAACAAGCACACTCGACCCTTTTTATTTTCATCCGTTGACTGCTTGCGAAAAGACGAAAAAAAACCTCCAAAAAGTAGAGTTTTAATTGAAAACCCCCCAATAGATTAATAATACCCTTTAAATCATAAATTTTCGAAAATTATATATTCACCCCAAAATAATTTTTGTTGGTACCAAAATGAAGTTTCAAAAATATTCAATTCAGTCCCAGACATTTTCAATAAAGCCCTCTCTCCCAAGAACGCACAGTAACATTCTTCAACCAGCCACCATTTCCGTAGCCCTCCTACATAGCCACCACCAGCTCACGCGCCATTTCAGATCCACGTTTCGAAGTCTTAAAGATCCCAACAGATTTCTTTTATCCAACTCCTCATCTAATTGAAGGGGCGTTTCATGAATTGCCCATACAGTTGACCCTTTTTGTTTATTACAACGTAACTCTCATCCAAATCCAATAAAGAAAAAAGAAACCCATCAAACCAATTCAATTCAACACACACTTGTCTTATTTTAATTTCCTCAACTACTCCATCTTGCGCTTATTTCGGATCTTCCAATTATATCTTATGTTTTAAATTTTAATACATCATCATCTTGGAAAATGCAAGTTGACTTCTCTATTCACTAGATAGAGCTTGTGTTCTTGGGCTAAAATTCTTATCCTGTACTAATCAAGAGAGAGAGAGAGAGAGAGAGAGAGAGAGAGAGAGAGAGAGAGAGAGAGAGAGAGAGAATGGCTCATGCTGCCGTATATTCGCTTAAGTGGGCAATGATGGAGCTTCTAGAAATGTCAGCATTCAAAAAATATTCTTCCGACTCGGATATCTATCGGCCGGATGCTGAATTTGATTCATTTCTCGAGGCAATCAAGCTCCTTCCAAGCCACAACTTAGTTGATGTGGCTGCTTCCGAAAGACGAGTAAAAGATGCAGCCCAACAACTTCAGGATCTGATCGAATCCCATGCATCCGATCTCTTATTACGACTTTCCGATCATCAATCTGAAAGCTACTCTTTCGATGATTATATCGGTTTCACTTTCTCCTTCTCCCAACAACTATCACAACTCAAACAAGAACTCAGTTCGTTTCTCACAGCATTGAACTCCACTGAACAACAACAACTAAACAAGTCTTCTTCTGATTATAGCAGCCCTGGGAAACAACAAGATCTGGTGGGACTGGATGAGCAAATAAAAGTACTAAAAGAATGGATTCAGCAGCCCGAATCCAGTCTCGTGGTTACAACAGTTATGGGCATGACCGGGATCGGTAAGACTACTCTCGTTAAACAAGTTTATAGCGATCCAAATGTTGTAGATGGGTTCCAAACTCGTTTATTCGTGCACATCGGCCCACGCTATAATAAATTGGAAGAAATTATGCTGCTTGTTCTCAATCAACTCGGCGTCGTCTTTCCCACCTCTGATGAACTACTTCACGAAAACTTTGACTATCTGAGAAATCAATTGTGGGAGGCTTTATCCGGACAAAAGTATCTAATTGTGTTAGACGACGTGTGGACTAGTACTCATGTCTGGTGTGCAATAGAGTTTAGGGGTTTCCCAAATAACGCAAAAGGAAACCGCATCATCATCACGTCTCAGATCCAATGCTTAGATCACATGTTGCTTCTATACAAAAGGATTACCCCATTGCCGTTGCTGAACGACGACGATAGTTGGAAACTACTTCACCAGACGGCATTTTCTAGTGGATACAAGTGTAGTTCGGAACTTGAGAAAATCGGAAAGAAGATCGCCAGAAACTGCCAAGGACTCCCTGCCGCAATTATACAGGTCGGAGAGAATATCTATCCTTCTGATACTATATTTAAGGATCAAAATTGATATTGAAATTGTACATGGACAAAAGTTGTTTTATAATACTATAGTATAGGCATGAAAACTGTAAACATCTCTTTCTTTGTGTATCATTCTTTTTTTTTATTATTATTTCAAGAGTTTCTTTTAGTCTAATAGAGTTAATCTCCTTTTATTCTTAAATCGATGAGATTTGGCAATTATTCAGGTTGGAGAGAATCTACGTGGAAAATTGGTTCAAGAATGGAAGACATTATCAGAAAATGAAGATCCACTCATCATCACAAGAAATGACGATACACCCCTCTCAAAAGCACTGTACTTTAGTTATACGATGTTGCCTCAATATCTAAAGGTATTCTTTCTCTATATGGGTGTTTTCCCAAAAGAATATGTGATTTCTCGATCCATGCTCATGAAATTATGGGTTTCTGAGGGCTTTCTCAGTTTATTACCGAAAGTACTTCACGGAGATTACTTGGATAAACTTATTTGCCAAAATATTGTTTTGATACAAAAGAAGGCATCTGTAAGTAATGAAACTACTAAGAGCTGTAGTCTGCATTTCACCTTTCGGAGTCTATGTGTTAATGAAGCAAAGAGTGAAAAGTTTTTCCACGTCGTGAAAAAGTACATCGATTGTATGCCAGAGAAGATGAGAAGCCAACGTCGCCTGTGCATTCACAATAATGTTGTTCTTGCTTTTAGAGAAGTTCGTGAGTGGATGGAATCAGTTCCAAATGTACGATCTTTTCTTTGTTTGGGTCCAAAACAACAATATCCAATAGTGTTGCCGTTGTGTTTTAGATTGCTCAAAATACTAGATGCACTTGGAGTCCGTTTCTACGAGTTCCCACATAAAGTGTTTTCACTAATTCAGTTAAGGTACCTTTCCATCACGTTTGACGGAGAGCTCCCCAACTCCATATCGAAACTTTCGAATCTCGAAGTCTTGATTTTCGGTCGGCATCACAACATCAAATTGTCGAAAAATGGTCCGGCTTATCTACCTATAGGGATGTGGAAACTGTGTAAACTAAGGCAACTTTATTGCAAGGGCTTTGATCTGCCAGCTCCTCCTTCTTCGGATGGTTCTCATCTGATTCTTGAAAATCTTGTTACACTTTCAGGTGTGAGTGTTCATAGTTGTACTAAGGAAGTTCTTTCAAAGATTCCCATGCTAAAGAGAGTAGCCGTTCAGATCGAGTCGGCACACGATTCAGTCGAGACCTTCAGTTTTTTCAGTCAATTTACCTCGCTCTATCAAGAATTTGAGTCATTCAAATGCATCGTTGTAAATCCTAATCTCAGGCCCCACATCGTTCATTGCATTCCGAATTTTCCTAGGCACATTAAGAAGATAACTCTGAGTGGATGTGGATTTTCGTGGAATAAAATTGAAGTGCTTTCAGCATTGCATAATCTTAAAGTGCTCAAACTGCGATGGTATGCTTTTTGTGGGCCCATTTGGAAAATCAGTGACGCACAATTTCCTAGTCTTCAGTTTCTGCTGCTGGAGGA